CTATTCTACGAGCCATATGTCGCGGGTTCGAGAGACAGAGAGAAGACATTCAATCCTGACATCACTGAGGTGAATGTGGTTGAGTGGAATTCCGAATAAGGTTTACAGTCAAGGAATGAAGACAAGGGACACGTGGGAAGAAGTCCTCAGAAAATTTGCTAAGGAAACAGCGCGATGAATGCAACAGACTTTTTAAGCTAGAGACAGATTCGGTCTTTTCATCGATCTCAAGAGTATGAGAGACTATTATCTTCATGGAAGTAGATTGAAATTGGTTGATACGAAAGAAGGAGTCCAGCCCGCAATTAAAAGGAAGGCATCAGGTTCAGGAAATGTGAAATATGACATCTTCATCCTTTTTTAGATGTTCAGCTCGACACCATCAATAGGGAGCTTGAGAGGTGTGACCTATTAACGAGACATATCATTTATAAATACACAATTTTGACAGAGGAACAAATAAAGGCACACCACGACCTCTTTATCAGAAGATACAATATCGATGTTGATCCTGTCGTAAACTGCAAAAAACTACGTGAAGCAAAGGCATGAAATATTCACTGAGGCGATAAAAAAGATTTCCCTTTCACGCGAACGACGACAAGAGGATCGTTCAAAATGATATTTTTACCCCCTTCAGAACTCAGCAGCAGGACATGGTCAAAAACGTGAAGGAGGGTGTGAAATATTTTACAGGTCACGATTCTTTGAATAATTCAAGTTGCCTTTAAAATCATGGTTGATTTCAAAATGTGCAAGAACTGTTTTTTTAAATCAACCTTGACTCCAAGGTTGGCATCATGAGTTGCCTTTAAAATCAAGGTACAAGGTTTTATGGCCAATCAGAGCGCGCCTACTATTTGAATTATTTTATAACTATTACTTTGTTACATGGTTTTGAGGAAATTTTTATGGTTAACCTTTTTTACGACTGACAGTTAAATTTATCAATTTTTACATCACAGGAATTCAGTAAAAAGGAAAACAGTATAAAATCATTTCGCAGTTACTTGACAATAAATAGATTTGCAAGCTCTAGTTGCTACACGGTTGAAAGAGGAATTTTTGCGGTTTTTTTACGGCCAACAGTCAACAACAAAGAAGCTAGAGTTGCTCTCGGCTACGCCTCGAGCAACTCTTACGCATCTTTCGTGCTCTCCAAACTTCCCAAGTGCTTCATATCTCGACGAACGCACAGCTGACGTATGAACCTTTGTTTTATAACATTTTCAACCCGGTGGAAATTTTTTTTCCTCAAGGAATGTGTTTGCTGACGTCATGAGCGTGCACAATAGGAATATGAAGCACGCTCGCGCTATTGAATTTGATTAGACAAATTTACTCGCTATGTTATAATTTATCTTTTACGCCCACTGAAATCTAGCACTTGGGCAGGGCAATTGAACATGATTTTGTCCTAGGGGCGGGAACAAATCTTCAAAAGGTAAAATTCCTAAGGTTGGGGGATGTCGAGGCTTTGAATTGATCGACGCATTATTTTTCCTTCTCGTATAATAATATTAATATCCCTCCGTCCAATGATGTAATCTGTTTCATAATCACCGAATATAACCCTGCCACGATGTCTTCATTCACTCACTACACAGCCTAATGATTTTTCCGTTAAGGATATCTACCATAGGGGTTTTCAACGGAGTGGGGGTGAGTCCTACTAATATTGTATCTCTGCTTTTCAGTTGCGATTTTCACAAAGTTCAGCTTGGTTTTTCCGCGCGGAAATGAAAAGCCCTAAACTAATTTTGATATCCTCGAAAACAGCTTTATTTTTACTTATCATGAGCATAACACTTAACCAATTCTGAGTTATACCGCATGGGAAAAATATTAGTTGAAAATTTGCTGCGAAAGGTGACGTTTGTATTTTGAAATATTGGTGACTTTCAAAAGTGTTCCGTGAGCTCCAAATTGAATGAAATGGTCCCGTTTTAAACAGCCATACCTCAATTTCTTTGATACAAATTTGTCAAATTGATACGAGCTTTCTTGTTTTCATAGGCAAAGTTCGTTTGCCCCTACTTGGGGCACTAGTTTTTGCCATTTAAGGCAACCGATGCTCGTTTCAGTTTTCGTTAATTTTCTAGAATAAAGAGGCAAGTCAGGAGAGAAAGACCTTGCCACGTTTCTAAGTTCACTTTCAAGGTATCGCTGACTGAAATGTGAGAACAGTCATTTTTCGGTCGATGTGCCACCTTTGAAACGGTCTTGAAGGAAAGTCACTCGTAAGCCGCCAGATTGAGCAGTCAGTGGACTAGGACTTCAAAGTTGGAGGACTGCTGAGTGTCCAAGCGCTGGGTATGGAAGGGTTGCAACTGACGCTGCCAACGCCTGCTCACTAGCAATACCACAGTCACACATTTAGCAAGGAGATCAACCTCGGCTGGTTTGGCGCCAGTTTTCCGCGATGTATCTTCAAAAGAAAACAACATAAAAGCACGTCACGCAAAATATGGAGAGAGAAGTACAAAAATTCATAGAAATCTGTAAAAGGAAACAAAAGTAAGGAAAAGGAAGAATTGATACATTTGGAGCACACACCTTATTTGACTATGGGCATTCTTTTCATTTATTATTTGTTTTGAGCTTTATCAAAAATGTTGTACGCTTTTGAATTACCGTGACCTACTTGCTTGCGGGATTGCTTATAATTTCTGTACAACAACTTGGTTCTGACAGCCTAAAATCACCCAGTCACTACAACGTTTGCACTTGCGCTGACGTTTTGCACAAAATACCATGCAGGCTCTCGCTTTGACTTCCACTGCCTGAAGCATTTTCTCATAATGTTACTCCACCATTTCACTCATTCGTGATTCCATTGCTCACTTGGAAGCTATCAAGCAATTCATAGAAGGAAAAGATGATAATCTACTTAGATTGGCCTCGAAAGCGAATCAATTTTCTTGTTTTCGAGAATTAAGAATTGTAGCACATAAAAGAGGAGCAGTTTTTTAGTTTCTTTTTTTCATTAAAAAAAAAATCTATGTTAGCGTGTAGAGTGGTATGTTGCTCACACCAATCAGATCGCCGCATTTGGGTATCTCGTACTAATCAGATTGCCACCTTAGGGTATGTAACTCGCACCAATCGTATCACAGCATTTGGATACCTTGCACCAATCACAGCATTTGGGAATTGTTTTCTTCCAACTGATATCATGGAATTAGGGGGCTGTGCACAGAGAATGACATAAACAATAAATTGCGGGCTCATTTGATAAGTGTAATAGTTTGTGGCCTTCGCGAGAGCCTCGTCGATTAAGGTCGCGGTTTATCGAGATATGAAAGATTTGCATCATTTGTATCTTATTTAAGTTAAAACGTGTTTTTCCGCTCCTTTACTCTCAACTTCCAACACAACATAGCCAATCACTGCACCACATGAACATTAGGCAATTTTTCACATGCTTGAATTAAATTCCACTAATCAAATTCCAGTTTGCCAAATTAGGTTTCGCTCCGTTACGTGTCATTTCCTTGTGAACAACCTGCATTTAATCACTCGTTCTAACCGCATTGAAAAAAAATTCACATAAAATTAACTACTAAGAGTGAATTTTTTTCACGCAATTCTCCTGCGTTTTTAATTTTTTCTAAGAATAAAATTGGCTATTAGCTACCTTGAACTTAATCCAATCGCGTGTTAATTCCTTGTAAACAACCTGCATTTTTATCACGTATTTCACAAATAACATGAACAACCATTAAAGGAGCCAGCCCTCTTTGAAACATTATCCTTTTCTCTTGTTAAATGTGTCTTCATTTATTTTTTCGAGATTGCAATATATCTTTGGTTAGGGTATATTGGAGATACAACAGAATTTCAGTTCACTTTTCGTAGTAGAATTACGTGGAATTATATATTTTTAGGCAACTAACTGTAAAGATTAATTTTGATTTTCTCTCTTTTAGAGGAACGGCAGTAAGCGTAGTCTCTTTCGCAAACGTTATTTGGTCTCAGCAAGCACGCAACGCGCTCTCTCTCCAACGGGGAATAGATGGCGTTGTGTGACGAGACCAAACAACTGTTGCAAGGGGAGACAATGGTAAGTATTGCACCGATACATTCTAATTTTGCTTAGAAGTAGTTAGACAATAGAGACAATAGACCACAAAATACCTCTGTGAGTTCAGATACGTTACGCTTTTTTCTTTCGCTTAAAGTGAAGTAATGCCATATTTTCGTCCGTTTGAAAGCTATGCTCTTTTTCTGTTACAAAAAATGAACACATTAGGCACACAAAGTGCCCATCTCAGCCCGCCCAGCCGAGGAAATAACTCTTGCATGCTTCGCATGCCTATGTTTTTATTTTCACGGGAAAGGAAACGGGGAGTAGCGTAAGCCCATTTCCTGAACGTCGGCCGGTAATCGAGGCCACTGCGGCGGATACATGATTCGTTCATGATTGGCCACAAAGAAGGGGAGACTACAATCCTCATTTTCCCTACTCTACATTTTTCACTTTCGAGGTTTTCCACCTGTTACTCTCTTTCCCACTCTCCAGTCATTCTTGAAGTCGTACCCTACCTGACGAAAAATATCTATTTTCGCTGTTGTTTTGTTTTTCTTAGCGGTAGAGACTGTGCTCGACGGATTGCAATATGTTAAAAATTATCGTGTAATAAGTTAAAAATAGACATGTCGTTACTGAGCGCGTTATCATATGCGAAAGAACGATGCTAGAGTCGGCCAATAATCGTTCAGAAACCCGCAACGTCATAAGGACCATTTCACGATGCTCGGGGAGGGGCTAAGTGGGAAATTTATTTGGGGTAATCTTCTCCTATACTTATCCATGATTACTGAAAATTTTGTACCTAATATTGAAAAAGTCTTTCAGATAGGAAATTTAGAGAAACTTTTGTGTTTGCTAAGCCATGAAGGACCTATTTTAACTGCATTCTTTTATAAGTAGCACACTACCCTGCACGGTATGTAAATCAGGTCGCAGCAGGTCAATCAAGTATCTGAAACCACGAGAGCGGCTCGAGTGTTGCTGTAGTTCGTCTTTTCAGAGAGCTAAACCTGTGTGTGTAAACTTTCTTAATTCATCAATCAAAACAAATCCTACTTTCCTAGATGAGCGAATTTTTTTATGGTGTTTGCGAGGAAGACCTGGATGGCAGTAAAGGATTCAAAGGTATACTGGTGCTGCGTGAGATTTTTCAAGTAATTTTTGACGAGGGTAGTTAACGCGTGTACATTACCCAAAGACTTAAATTTTCTTGGGTTTATCAATTGGTTACGGGCAAGAAATCAAGGAATTGCAGTATACTATTTGATCGTTTGAAGTTCAAAAAGGAAGTCTGGACAACAAATGAAGGACGAAGGGGTTACAAATTCACTGATGGCCACCAACAGTGAGAGCTGCTTCGCGTCTCGCGGATCCATTTTTGCCATTGTCGATAACATTCACTGGGCGATCGCCAGCGCCAAACACAACAAAGCTTATGTCCTTCGATTTGTGCCAGTACTTAAGCAGATTACAAAAGTTTTGAACGGAGCAGATGTGAAATTCATACGCCAAGCCGAATTCTACAGCGATCTGAAAGAAACCCTACACAAGATTGAAGACCACGTTAAGGAAAGTTCAACTCGTGGAAAATGGATGAATAGGTTGATGGCCAAGAAGAATCAAAAGAGTTTCAATGAATTTGAGAAGCATGTGGATGATCTCATAACACGAATCGTTTTTTCGTTCGCCCAGCGAGTTCAGCAGCAGAACATGGCTCGGCAAAAGAAGAAACCGTTGCCAGAGATACCGGAAGAAGATGAGTTGGGCAAATGCAAGATGGACGTGGAACGTGCTTGTCCGTTAGCAACAAATGATGATACTCCAGGGGAGGGAGTATCTTTGGCAAGTCAAGAAGATGACGTGACTGGCGAAAGATAAATGTTCAGCTTTATTTTTATCTTCTATGACTCAAATGCTCGAAAACATACGTGAACAGTTGAAAACAGCGCCTGTTAAGTGAAATGAGCTTTCATTTTGAAGCTACAACTTATTCAAAGTTGGTTCAAACAATCGTGGGAACACACAAACAAGCACTTGATTGTTACTCCTTTGTTATCCCCATCTTTACTAGAACTTTTAGACGCAAAGCTATTGTTTTAAAAATATGTACTTTATTAATTAACTTTGAGCCTTTTTAAGTTCCAAGGTCTTTCAATGAATTGTTTATTTAGCTCTGTATATGGATTGGGAAATATGGAACACGGTTCCTATCAAAAGCATAAAATACATATTTGTGATCATTATTTATCAGTAATTTAATGATAATTTTGTATTTGTTCAGACTTCCTTGCCTACATTGGGTTGCATTAGATTTAGGTGATGGAAAGCCTAAAAAGTTTGTTTCTCTTTTTTATCACAAGTGATGATACATACAGTAGAACTCCAATTACTTGCACCCTTAAGACAAACAAAAAAAAATGATTAAGTTAGAGAAGTTTGAGTTTTAGGGGTTGGTATCCTGTTGATTACCAACAAGGAATTATATTTCTACCATTTGCCATTTCTGTACATTAAGTTTGTTGTCTTTTTTTTTAAAGAATCTTTAGTTTGGAAAGTTAAGCTGAATGTTTTGTGTTTAAATAACTTATATTTCATTTGTATTAATTGGGATTAAGGATTAGGACTTGTAAATGAGCTATGCTCTGACACTTTGACATTATAAACCTACTTTTTCTTTTAGGGTCAAGTTACAAGGGTAATTTTGAATCTAGGGTAAGTAAAATTAGTTTAAGGTAAAAGGGAGTTCAAGGTAACCAAGTTAGAGTTAAGCTGATAGTAAATGACTGAAAAATGGGTTCAAATCCAAGGAAAATCACATCTTGTTTGAGTTAAAAAGGTATCAACTTAGGAAGGTTCAAGATAGCAATGTATTACTGTATTTCTTGTTGAAAATTAAAGGCTGGTCAATTCTTGTTGGATGAGCTTATCGATGATAAGTAAAGCTTTGTGCATGTATGGTCTAAGCTTATATTAGGGGGCATATTAAGAAATATTACATTGTATAATCAACTTTTCACAAGTAGTCAGTTTACAATGATCACCTAATTATGGTATTGATAATGAATTTTACAATGCTTGCCTCTATCTGTGGTGAGCATATTCTCAATTTCTAAGCAGAGATATATTCCTTAGTAACTCATGCTTTTGTCTTATATTAAATTTGTGACACCTTCCCAGCAGTACTTGTGAATATTGTGCTTCAGGTCCAATTGAATCTGTATCAGTGGTGTTTGTTACTGGTTCAGAAGATGAATGGTTTGGCAGAATGTGTATTCTGAAAATGGTGAAATGTAAGGCTACTCTGTTTGGTGATTGAATGACAATTATTACTATGTGTGAAGGCTACTCCTTGTGTTCTCCCCATATTCCGCATGGGTTATTACCCTGTTAATTCATTACAAAGTGTGATCTACTGCTTAATTCATATACTGCTGATTGGATTTGTCCAGTTAGGAATAGGTAGAAGGAATTTAGTCGAGCATTTTGCGGTACAAAAATGACTTTAAATTTCATGTCCTTGTTGGTAGTCCAGAGTATGCTCTCAATTCAATTATGACAAATTTAGAAAATGTAATTGGTTGTCATAACTGGTGAACCAGTAGAAAGTGTGGTCCGTTTCTAACCTAACTTATTGCTGATTGGAGATATCCAGTTAGTTAAAAGTAGAAGGAATTTTGTCAAGAATTTTTCAGTGTGGAGCTGCTGTGTTCATGAGATTAAAATGCCAACATTAAATGGATATTATGAACTCATGTACCCAACTTGCAATTTTCACCCACTATAACTGTTATGTGGTAATTACAGAAGATAAGATATCCCTACCCCTAGGATCTTAGGAAGTTCCAGTTCCCAATTTTTACAGAGTAATTTTATGCAAGGCTAAATATTGGGTGCATAGTATTTCATGTTTATATCTTAACCTCTGGAATCCTTGACAGATTGAATAGGAGAGACTAGTTAAGAACTGCATTCATAAGTAGAGGATATCAGAGGGGAAACCTGTCCTCCCTCAAAGTGCTGTGAAGAAATGTTTCCAATCATTGCATTCCATTAATAATATGGTCAGCAGCACAAGTAGACAAAGAATTCTTCAGCAAAGTAGTGAAAGCCATACAATTTCCAGAATATCATGGAGGACTTAGGTAATTGAGAGATTTGCCCTTAGTGTTAACCAAATCTTATACACATAAAGTAGAGGGAAAAAAAACCCTGGAGGATCTTTTCAAATTACAAGTCTTAGAACTCTAACATTCAAACCCAATCTATTTTGTTTTACTTGTTGGTAATATATTTACTGTCCAAAACTTGTTGGCAAAAAGTTTTTTTGTTTTTCCCTAAGCAACTGACGATCAAGAAGTATGTGTCCCAACATTCCTGTTCTGAACCTTTTGAGGAAATCAACATGAGCTCTGCGGTAATCTGGTACTCCACCTAAGAAAATAAACAAACTATCACAAATTTTGAAGAGTTACTAAGTAACAACAATTACAGCAATAAATAAACTTGTAACAAATAATTGCTGATCAAAAATGAAATTACCAGTATGTCCTAAGAAAAACTCTGATAAAATAAGGATAGAAATTGTCTATATAGTAGATTTATTAACAGAACTACTGCGTAATGTAAAATTAATCAGTTATCATCAATGGGTGATTGGAAAGTGGGTGAAATATATATTAATCAAATATCAAACATAAGACATCTTTGAAATAATTAAATTTTTTACAACATACCTGATATTGTAGCATTTAGTTTTTTGGCCCACTGTCTCATGACGAAGTTCACATTATCACTAGGGTTCCTGAGGCCAAAGCTTTCCACATATCTAGGACAACAGCATAATCTCAACAATGTTATAATTATCTTAAGTATCATCACTTTGATCAGAATTGTCAACCCTTCGATACCATAACAAAAAAAATATTAATATATATTTTTTTCAAGTTCATAATTTAATATGTTTGGAGGTAAACCAAAAAATGAGGGTGCATGTCAATGCAAATCTCATCTTGTTGACAGCTGCCTATGGCGAAGAGCCACCAAAAACATACAAACTTCCATCCATTGACCCAAAGGAAGCTAAAACAAGATGGAACAAAACCAAAAGACAAACAGATCTAGAAAGAAAATGTGCATGGCTTTTTAATATCATTTTCCCCAAGAAATTTGCCAGTGAGACTAAACTTGGTACACCTAATCCAGTTTTCCTGAATCATGTTAATTATTTCTTGTAATCTTCATTCCCTCTTCCCTCTTTTGTACTTGTGACTGTCAACCAGTTACTCATCTCTGGTTAACTGTAACACAACTATCAATGGAGTTAGGGGAGGGGAAGGGGAAGTTGGAAAGAAAGCACAACAGGTTGGGAATTCAATACAAGTAATCCTGGTTGTATTTAGATATTTATAACAAGAGCACCCTGCAGTCAAGATTCTCACTGAAAAGCTCCTTACAACTTAGTTTCATCTTCATGGAGGGAGTTTGCCTAAAAGGTACTGGTATTTCATGTGGTAATATCTTTGTCACAATTAAGTGTTTTTTTCATTTTAGAGGAAACTTAGTGGTCACATAATAAAGTACTTATTCATATCCACCAAAACAGTCACTAACTGTGCTCTGCAAGTTTTAAGTAACACCATAAGGAACTCACTCAAAACGTTTTTCTTTGTTCAAGATATACAACAGATAATCAGCAATCAATTCCTCACCAACAATATGGTCTTTAAAACAACCTATAATAAAATGGAGTAGGCACTGATGTATCCATTATGTACTAAAAGTGTTTTGTACCCTGGAAGCTAAAGGCCAAGGATAACTATGTATAGAGTTGGTCATTGCAAGAGTCAAAACTCAACAGTCCTCATTGAGGGGCATAATTATTGAGATGAACCCATTAGCTCTGGAACAACACAATGTAATATATGGAAAGGGCCCACTATTTAAACAAGGTCTAACCCAAATCAGGGTCTTACACAATCAGTGGGCCTCAAGCTCTCTTTCCAAGACGGTTGATTTCATCAAACAAAAGTCCTTCCACTATCAACTTTTGGCCCAAACGTTCAGATATAAGGTTCACCTAAATTGAGGATTGTTTAGGACACCATTTTGTTAAACAATGGCTACACTTTGTTTAAATAATCAGCCCTAAATGTTCAAACCACAACAATTGGTCATAAAGACCAACAATGACACTTGTAAGTGGAAGCAACCGACACTTCGACTACCTAGACAGAAGTCATCTACAGATTCATCTGTTGATTCTGTAGTTGATTTGAAGCAGGGAAACTTGTTGTCAAATAACTTTCTGGTATTGTTGCATACAGAGAAATTGATAGATTGTTAACTTCAGTTAAAAGGACTACCAACCAGTTACCTGACTCTGGGGAGAAAGTAAATTGTTAATTCCAAAAAGTTGACCCAAACATCAAGAAAGCCAGGTGATAAGGTGTGTTCTCATCAAATTTTTATACACAGTGTTGCTTGGAATCACTCTTTTATTGTAAATAATTGTACAACATAACCTGGCTGAAACCCGGAAATGCTCTAATATGCAGTAAATGAAACCACACCTATTAACGCTAGCTTCATTCCTATTTCTGCAGTTGGTATATAAGGAGCCACCACACCTGAAAAATTGAGAAACATGGGACCAATTGTTGTGGTTTGAGTACATTTAGACTAACGGCTGATTATTTAAACAACAGATTACCTGGAGCCATTGTTTAACAAAACCTGGTGTAATTTCAAACAATCCTCAATTTAGGTGAACCTGATATCTGAACGTTGGGGCCAAAAGTTGATAGTGGAAGGACTTTTGTTTGATGAAATCAACCGTCTTGGAAAGAGAGCTTGAGGCCCACTGATTGTGTAAGACCCTGATTTGGGTTAGACCTTGTTTAAATAGTGGGCCCTTTCCATATATTACATTGTGTTGTTCCAGTTCAGCTAATGGGTTCATCTCAATAATTATGCCCCTCAATGAGGACTGTTGATGTTTTCACCTTTGACTCTTGCAATGACCAACTCTATACATAGTTATCACTTGGTACATACTTTACTTAAAACTGTATATAAGTATAGGTACAAAACACTTTTACATACATAATGGATACATCAGTGCCTACTCCATTTTATTATAGGTTGTTTTAAAGACCATATTGTTGGTGAGGAATTGATTGCTGATTATCTGTTGTATATCTTGAACAAAGAAAAACGTTTTGAGTGAGTTCCTTATGGTGTTACTTAAAACTTGCAGAGCACAGTTAGTGACTGTTTTGGTGGATATGAATAAGTACTTTATTATGTGACCACTAAGTTTCCTCTAAAATGAAAAAAACACTTAATTGTGACAAAGATATTACCACATGAAATACCAGTACCTTTTAGGCAAACTCCCTCCATGAAGATGAAACTAAGTTGTAAGGAGCTTTTCAGTGAGAATCTTGACTGCAGGGTGCTCTTGTTGTAAATATCTAAATACAACTACATATTGTATTGAATTCCCAACCTGTTATTCTTTCTTTCCAACTTCCTTCCAACTCCCTATCCATTGATAGTTGTGTTACAGTTAACCAGAGATGAGTAACTGGTTGACAGTCACAAGTACAAAAAGGAAGAGGGAATGAAGATTACAAGAAATAATTAACATGATTCAGGAAAACTGGATTAGGTGTACCATTTAGTCTCACTGGCAAATTTCTTGGGGAAAATGATATTAAAAAGCCATGCACATTTTCTTTCTAGATCTGTTTGTCTTTATGGTTTTTGTTCCATCTTGTTTTAGCTTCCTTTGGGTCAATGGATGGAAGTTTGTATCTTGATGGTGGCTCTTCGCCATAGGCAGCTGTCAACAAGATGAGATTTGCATTGACATGCACCCTCATTTTGGTTTACCTCCAAACATATTAAATTATGAACTTGAAAAAAATATATATTAATATTTTTTGTTATGGTATCGAAGGGTTGACAATTCTGATCAAAGTGATGATACTTAAGATAATTATAACATTGTTGAGATTATGCTGTTGTCCTAGATATGTGGAAAGCTTTGGCCTCAGGAACCCTAGTGATAATGTGAACTTCGTCATGAGACAGTGGGCCAAAAACTAAATGCTACAATATCAGGTATGTTGTAAAAATTTAATTATTTCAAAGATGTCTTATGTTTGATATTTGATTAATATATATTTCACCCACTTTCCAATCACCCATTGATGATAACTGATTAATTTTACATTACGCAGTAGTTCTGTTAATAAATCTACTATATAGACAATTTCTATCCTTATTTTATCAGAGTTTTTCTTAGGACATACTGGTAATTTCATTTTTGATCAGCAATTATTTGTTACAAGTTTATTTATTGCTGTAATATGTTGTTACTTAGTAACTCTTCAAAATTTGTGATAGTTTGTTTATTTTCTTGGGTGGAGATTGTACCAATTACCGCAGAGCTCATGTTGATTTCCTCAAAAGGTTCAGAACAGGAATGTTGGGACACATACTTCTTGATCATCAGTTGCTTAGGGAAAAACAAAAAAACTTTTTGCCAACAAGTTTTGGACAGTAAATATATTACCAACAAGTAAAACAAAATAGATTGGGTTTGAATGTTAGAGTTCTAAGACTCTAAGTAATCTCTCAATTACCTAAGTCCTCCATGATATTCTGGAAATTGTATGGCTTTCACTACTTTGCTGAAGAATTCTTTGTCTACTTGTGCTGCTGACCATATTATTAATGGAATGCAATGATTGGAAACATTTCTTCACAGCACTTTGAGGGAGGACAGGTTTCCCCTCTGATATCCTCTACTTATGAATGCAGTTCTTAACTAGTCTCTCCTATTCAATCTGTCAAGGATTCCAGAGGTTAAGATATAAACATGAAATACTATGCACCCAAAATTTAGCCTTGCATAAAATTACTCTGTAAAAATTGGGAACTGGAACTTCCTAAGATCCTAGGGGTAGGGATATCTTATCTTCTGTAATTACCACATAACAGTTATAGTGGGTGAAAATTGCAAGTTGGGTACATGAGTTCATAATATCCATTTAATGTTGGCATTTTAATCTCATGAACACAGCAGCTCCACACACTGAAAAATTCTTGACAAAATTCCTTCTACTTTTAACTAACTGGATATCTCCAATCAGCAATAAGTTAGGTTAGAAACGGACCACACTTTCTACTGGTTCACCAGTTATGACAACCAATTACATTTTCTAAATTTGTCATAATTGAATCGAGAGCATACTCTGGACTACCAACAAGGACATGAAATTTAAAGTCATTTTTGTACCGCAAAATGCTCAACTAAATTCCTTCTACCTATTCCTAACTGGACAAATCCAATCAGCAGTATATGAATTAAGCAGTAGATCACACTTTGTAATGAATTAACAGGGTAATAACCCATGCGGAATATGGGGAGAACACAAGGAGTAGCCTTCACACATAGTAATAATTGTCATTCAATCACCAAACAGAGTAGCCTTACATTTCACCATTTTCAGAATACACATTCTGCCAAACCATTCATCTTCTGAACCAGTAACAAACACCACTGATACAGATTCAATTGGACCTGAAGCACAATATTCACAAGTACTGCTGGGAAGGTGTCACAAATTTAATATAAGACAAAAGCATGAGTTACAAAGGAATAAATCTCTGCTTAGAAATTGAGAATATGCTCACCACAGATAGAGGCAAGCATTGTAAAATTCATTATCAATACCATAATTAGGTGATCATTGTAAACTGACTACTTGTGAAAAGTTGATTATACAATATAATATTTCTTAATATGCCCCCTAATATAAGCTTAGACCATACATGCACAAAGCTTTACTTATCATCGATAAGCTCATCCAACAAGAATTGACCAGCCTTTAATTTTCAACAAGAAATACAGTAATACATTGCTATCGAACCTTCCTAAATTGATACCTTTTTAACTCAAACAAGATGTGATTTTCCTTGGATTTGAACCCATTTTTCAGTCATTTACTATCAGCTTAACTCTAACTTGGTTACCTTGAACTCCCTTTTACCTTAAACTAATTTTACTTACCCTAGATTCAAAATTACCCTTGTAACTTGACCCTAAAAGAAAAAGTAGGTTTATAATGTCAAAGTGTCAGAGCATAGCTCATTTACAAGTCCTAATCCTTAATCCCAATTAATACAAATGAAATATAAGTTATTTAAACACAAAACATACAGCTTAACTTTCCAAACTAAAGATTCTTTAAAAAAAAGACAACAAACTTAATGTACAGAAATGGCAAATGGTAGAAATATAATTCCTTGTTGGTAATCAACAGGATACCAACCCCTAAAACTCAAACTTCTCTAACTTAATCATTTTTTTTTGTTTGTCTTAAGGGTGCAAGTAATTGGAGTTCTACTGTATGTATCATCACTTGTGATAAAGAAAACAAACTTTTTAGGCTTTCCATCACCTAAATCTAATGCAACCCAATGTAGGCAAGGAAGTCTGAACAAATACAAAATTATCATTAAATTACTGATAAATAATGATCACAAATATGTAGTTTATGCTTTTGATAGGAACCGTGTTCCATATTTCCCAATCCATATACAGAGCTAAATAAACAATTCATTGAAAGACCTTGGAACTTAAAAAGGCTCAAAGTTAATTAATAAAGTACATATTTTTAAAACAATAGCTTTGCGTCTAAAAGTTCTAGTAAAGATGGGGATAACAAAGGAGTAACAATCAAGTGCTTGTTTGTGTGTTCCCACGATTGTTTGAACCAACTTTGAATAAGTTGTAGCTTCAAAATGAAAGCTCATTTCACTTAACAGGCGCTGTTTTCAACTGTTCACGTATGTTTTTCGAGCATTTGAGTCATAGAAGATAAAAACAAAGCTGAACATTTATCTTTCGCCAGTCACGTCATCTTCTTGACTTGCCAAAGATACTCCCTCCCCTGGAGTATCATCATTTGTTGCTAACGGACAAGCACGTTCCACGTCCATCTTGCATTTGCACAACTCATCTTCTTCCGGTATCTCTGGCAACGGTTTCTTCTTTTGCCGAGCCATGTTCTGCTGCTGAACTCGCTGGGCGAACGAAAAAACGATTCGTGTTATGAGATCATCCACATGCTTCTCAAATTCATTGAAACTCTTTTGATTCTTCTTGGCCATCAACCTATTCATCCATTTTCCACGAGTTGAACTTTCCTTAACGTGGTCTTCAATCTTGTGTAGGGTTTCTTTCAGATCGCTGTAGAATTCGGCTTGGCGTATGAATTTCACATCTGCTCCGTTCAAAACTTTTGTAATCTGCTTAAGTACTGGCACAAATCGAAGGACATAAGCTTTGTTGTGTTTGGCGCTGGCGATCGCCCAGTGAATGTTATCGACAATGGCAAAAATGGATCCGCGAGACGCGAAGCAGCTCTCACTGTTGGTGGCCATCAGTGAATTTGTAACCCCTTCGTCCTTCATTTGTTGTCCAGACTTCCTTTTTGAACTTCAAACGATCAAATAGTATACTGCAATTCCTTGATTTCTTGCCCGTAACCAATTGATAAACCCAAGAAAATTTAAGTCTTTGGGTAATGTACACGCGTTAACTACCCTCGTCAAAAATTACTTGAAATCTCACGCAGCACCAGTATACCTTTGAATCCTTTACTGCCATCCAGGTCTTCCTCGCAAACACCATAAAAAAATTCGCTCATCTAGGAAAGTAGGATTTGTTTTGATTGATGAATTAAGAAAGTTTACACACACAGGTTTAGCTCTATGAAAAGACGAACTACAGCAACACTCGAGCCGCTCTCGTGGTTTCAGATACTTGATTGACCTGCTGCGACCTGATTTACATACCGTGCAGGGTAGTGTGCTACTTATAAAAGAATGCAGTTAAAATAGGTCCTTCATGGCTTAGCAAACACAAAAGTTTCTCTAAATTTCCTATCTGAAAGACTTTTTCAATATTAGGTACAAAATTTTCAGTAATCATGGATAAGTATAGGAGAAGATTACCCCAAATAAATTTCCCACTTAGCCCCTCCCCGAGCATCGTGAAATGGTCCTTATGACGTTGCGGGTTTCTGAACGATTATTGGCCGACTCTAGCATCGTTCTTTCGCATATGATAACGCGCTCAGTAACGACATGTCTATTTTTAACTTATTACACGATAATTTTTAACATATTGCAATCCGTCGAGCACAGTCTCTACCGCTAAGAAAAACAAAACAACAGCGAAAATAGATATTTTTCGTCAGGTAGGGTACGACTTCAAGAATGACTGGAGAGTGGGAAAGAGAGTAACAGGTGGAAAACCTCGAAAGTGAAAAATGTAGAGTAGGGAAAATGAGGATTGTAGTCTCCCCTTCTTTGTGGCCAATCATGAACGAATCATGTATCCGCCGCAGTGGCCTCGATTACCGGCCGACGTTCAGGAAATGGGCTTACGCTACTCCCCGTTTCCTTTCCCGTGAAAATAAAAACATAGGCATGCGAAGCATGCAAGAGTTATTTCCTCGGCTGGGCGGGCTGAGATGGGCACTTTGTGTGCCTAATGTGTTCATTTTTTGTAACAGAAAAAGAGCATAGCTTTCAAACGGACGAAAATATGGCATTACTTCACTTTAAGCGAAAGAAAAAAGCGTAACGTATCTGAACTCACAGAGGTATTTTGTGGTCTATTGTCTCTATTGTCTAACTACTTCTAAGCAAAATTAGAATGTATCGGTGCCATACTTACCATTGTCTCCCCTTGCAGCAGTTGTTTGGTCTCGTCACACAACGCCATCTATTCCCCGTTGGAGAGAGAGCGCGTTGCGTGCTTGCTGAGACCAAATAACGTTTGCGAAAGAGACTACGCTTACTGCCGTTCCTCTAAAAGAGAGAGAAATCAAAATTAATCTTTACAGTTAGTTGCCTAAAAATATATAATTCCACGTAATTCTACTACGAAAAGTGAACTGAAATTCTGTTGTATCTCCAATATACCCTAACCAAAGATATATTGCAATCTCGAAAAAATAAATGAAGACACATTTAACAAGAGAAAAGGATAATGTTTCAAAGAGGGCTGGCTCCTTTAATGGTTGTTCATGTTATTTGTGAAATACGTGATAAAAATGCAGGTTGTTTACAAGGAATTAACACGCGATTGGATTAAGTTCAAGGTAGCTAATAGCCAATTTTATTCTTAGAAAAAATTAAAAACGCAGGAGAATTGCGTGAAAAAAATTCACTCTTAGTAGTTAATTTTATGTGAATTTTTTTTCAATGCGGTTAGAACGAGTGATTAAATGCAGGTTGTTCACAAGGAAATGACACGTAACGGAGCGAAACCTAATTTGGCAAACTGGAATTTGATTAGTGGAATTTAATTCAAGCATGTGAAAAATTGCCTAATGTTCATGTGGTGCAGTGATTGGCTATGTTGTGTTGGAAGTTGAGAGTAAAGGAGCGGAAAAACACGTTTTAACTTAAATAAGATACAAATGATGCAAATCTTTCATATCTCGATAAACCGCGACCTTAATCGACGAGGCTCTCGCGAAGGCCACAAACTATTACACTTATCAAATGAGCCCGCAATTTATTGTTTATGTCATTCTCTGTGCACAGCCCCCTAATTCCATGATATCAGTTGGAAGAAAACAATTCCCAAATGCTGTGATTGGTGCAAGATATCCAAATGCTGTGATACGATTGGTGCGAGTTACATACCCTAAGGTGGCAATCTGATTAGTACGAGATACCCAAATGCGGCGATCTGATTGGTGTGAGCAACATACCACTCTACACGCTAACATAGATTTTTTTTTTAATGAAAAAAAGAAACTAAAAAACTGCTCCTCTTTTATGTGCTACAATTCTTAATTCTCGAAAACAAGAAAATTGATTCGCTCGAGGCCAATCTAAGTAGATTATCATCTTTTCCTTCTATGAATTGCTTGATAGCTTCCAAGTGAGCAATGGAATCACGAATGAGTGAAATGGTGGAGTAACATTATGAGAAAATGCTTCAGGCAGTGGAAGTCAAAGCGAGAGCCTGCATGGTATTTTGTGCAAAACGTCAGCGCAAGTGCAAACGTTGTAGTGACTGGGTCAGAACCGTTGTTGTACAGAAATTATAAGCAATCCCGCAAGCAAGTAGGTCACGGTAATTCAAAAGCGTACAACATTTTTGATAAAGCTCAAAACAAATAATAAATGAAAAGAATGCCCATAGTCAAATAAGGTGTGTGCTCCAAATGTATCAATTCTTCCTTTTCCTTACTTTTGTTTCCTTTTACAGATTTCTATGAATTTTTGTACTTCTCTCTCCATATTTTGCGTGACGTGCTTTTATGTTGTTTTCTTTTGAAGATACATCGCGGAAAACTGGCGCCAAACCAGCCGAGGTTGATCTCCTTGCTAAATGTATGACTGTGGTATTGCTAGTGAGCAGGCGTTGGCAGCGTCAGTTGCAACCCTTCCATACCCAGCGCTTGGACACTCAGCAGTCCTCCAACTTTGAAGTCCTAGTCCACTGACTGCTCAATCTGGCGGCTTACGAGTGACTTTCCTTCAAGACCGTTTCAAAGGTGGCACATCGACCGAAAAATGACTGTTCTCACATTTCAGTCAGCGATACCTTGAAAGTGAACTTAGAAACGTGGCAAGGTCTTTCTCTCCTGACTTGCCTCTTTATTCCAGAAAATTAACGAAAACTGAAACGAGCATCGGTTGCCTTAAATGGCAAAAACTAGTGCCCCAAGTAGGGGCAAACGAACTTTGCTTATGAAAACAAGAAAGCTCGTATCAATTTGACAAATTTGTATCAAAGAAATTGAGGTATGGCTGTTTAAAACGGGACCATTTCATTCAATTTGGAGCTCACGGAACACTTTTGAAAGTCACCAATATTTCAAAATACAAACGTCACCTTTCGCAGCAAATTTTCAACTAATATATTTCCCATGCGGTATAACTCAGAATTGGTTAAGTGTTATGCTCATGATAAGTAAAAATAAAGCTGTTTTCGAGGATATCAAAATTAGTTTAGGGCTTTTCATTTCCGCGCGGAAAAACCAAGCTGAACTTTGTGAAAATCGCAACTGAAAAGCAGAGATACAATATTAGAAGGACTCACCCCCACTCCGTTGGAAACCCCTATGGTAGATATCCTTAACGGAAAAATCATTAGGCTGTGTAGTGAGTGAATGAAGACATCGTGGCAGGGTTATATTCGGTGATTATGAAACAGATGCATCATTGGACGGAGGGATATTGATATTAATACGAGAAAGGAAAAATAATGCGTCGCAATTCAAAGCCTCGACATCCCCCAGCGGCAACAGGAATTTTACCTTTTGAAAATTTGTTCCCGCCCTTAGGACAAGAATCATGTTCAATTGCCCTGCCCAAGTGCTCAGATTTCAGTGGGCGTAAAAGATAAATTATAACATAACACAGCAGACAAGGTGTCTAATCAAATTCAATAGCCGAGCGTGCTTCATATTCTGTAGCGCTCATGCGGCAACAAACACATTCCTTGAGAAAAAAATTTCCACCGGGTTGAAAATGTTATAAAACAAAGGTTCATACGTCGTTGTACGGTTCGTCGAGATATGAACCACTTGGGAAGTTGACTGGAGAGCACGAAAGAATGCGTAAGAGTTGCACGAGGCGTAGCCGAGAGCAATAGCTTCTTTGTTGGCTGTTGGCCGTAAAAAAACCGCAAAAATTCCTCTTTCAACCGTGTAGCAACTAGAGCTTGCAAATCAGCAAGTAACTGCGAAATGATTTTATACTGTTTTCCTTTTTACTGAATTCCTGTGATGTAAAAATTGATAAATTTAACTGTCAGTCGTAAAAAAGGTTAACCATAAAAATTTCCTCAAAACCATGTAACAAAGTAATAGTTATAAAATAATTCAAATAGTAGGCGCGCTCTGATTGGCCATAAAACCTTGTACCTTGATTTTAAAGGCAACTCATGATGCCAACCTTGGAGTCAAGGTTGATTTAAAAAACAGTTCTTGCACATTTGAAATCAACCATGATTTTAAAACAACTTGAATTATTCAAAGAATCGTGACCTGTAAAATATTTCACACCCTCCTTCCGTTTTTGACCATGTCCTGCTACTGAGTTCTGAAGGGGGTAAAAATATCATTTTTGAACGATCCTCTTGTCGTCGTTCGCGTGAAAGTGAAATATTTTTTATAGCCTCAGTGAATATTTCATGCCTTTGCTTCACGTAGTTTTTTGCAGTTTACGACAGGATCAACATCGATATTGTATCTTCTGATAAAGAGGTCGTGGTGTGCCTTTTATTTGTTCCTCTGTCAAAATTGTGTATTTATAAATGATATGTCTCGTTAATAGGTCACACCTCTCAAGCTCCCTATTGATGGTGTCGAGCTGAACATCTAAAAAAGGATGAAGATGTCATATTTCACATTTCCTGAACCTGATGCCTTCCTTTTAATTGCGGGCTGGACTCCTTCTTTCGTATCAACCAATTTCAATCTACTTCCATGAAAGTAGTCTCTCATACTCTTGAGATCGATGAAAAGACCGAAACTGTCTCTAGCTTAAAAAGTCTGTTGCATTCATCTCGCTGTTTCCTTAGCAAATTTTCTGGACTTCTTCCCACGTGTCCCTTGTCTTCATTCCTTGACATAAACCTTATTCGAATTCCCGCACAACCACATTCACCTCAGTGATGTCAGGATTGAATGTCTTCTCTCTGTCTCTCGAACCCGCGACATATGGCTCGTAGAATAGAAAG